CCCCCCCCATATTTGGGGATTGCTGTTATTCTTACTGTTGATTGTCTAGAACTGGTAATGGTATTGTTGGTTCTCTATCTAGTCTAGCAGGCTCAGGTCTCAAGTCTATAGCAGGTAATCCAGGGTGCTTCACGACACCTACAGTGGTAGCCGATGATGTCAATATAAGGAAGACGACTTTAGATATAAATTTTGATTTATATTAAGCTTTTAAATAGCAAGGATGCCCTAAGCCTGAATACAAAGAAAATCTGTTGATTAAAAAAGTTTTTCATTAATTACTTGTTAACTTGTAATTCGAAAAAAGCTTGGTATTGGTATAATCGCCTACCACCGAATTATCTAGATTTTTAAATTCGGATTTTTATTTGATTTGAATTGAAATGGAGTATTCAAAATACAGAAATATTTATGTTCTTGAAAAAATCCTTCCCCCTTCTCACTTGAAAATAAATTTTCCCTCAGTTTTTAAGTATGTTTAATTTTTAGGCATATTTTTAGCGTTTTTTTTCCGAAGAATTGGAAAAATAGATGATTTTTTGAGTAAAAGTACGTTCACAACTTTCCTTTTGATGTCCAGCTATGTGGTTTTCCGAAGAAATATAATAAGTCATGAAAATATGTTAAGGGGCAAACATTTTAAAAAGAACATTTCTAGCAGACAATTGTTAAATGGGTTAAGAAAAAAGGAAAAAGTTTGGTCAGGTATTTTTTCATATTTTCACCTCAGGAAGTAAAGCTGCGAACCTTGGATTGCGGAAAGGTAAGGCTCTGCTCTCTGGTTGGATGAGCCCCCAGACCCAGGTCTCAACCAAGGACGCTCTCAACACAATCAAAACCTGGTCAAATTCTGCCGCTACAAACCTCAGCAAGAAGTAGGTTTTTAACAATTTTCTAACCAGTGATCAGGATCCGGATCCGTTGGATCCGCAACATTTGGGGCTTCCTGGATCCATGGAGCCGGATTCAAGTGCAATATATCAACGAAAAACTGCACACTAAAATGTTATGCTCTCAAAACTTGTCACTAAACTGTTAAAAAAAGAGAGATTATCAAAGATGTCCTTATCTCTAAATGGTTCATCAAGTTGTTGCGTAAAAATAAGTGAAGAAAGGAAGAAAAATAATTCCTAAATTATTCGGCCAATGTTAAAAAAACGGTAAAAAAAGTTCATGACCTGGATCCGCATCATTTTTTAAACCTGTGTTCAGGTATGAAGAGATGGTGTCCCCTGCTCCTGCTTCCACTTTATCTGAACAGGAAGAGGATAAGGTTTCTCAGAGCAGCACTGACAGTAGGAGAACAGGAGTAGAGCAGCAAACGTCAGATATTCATCAGGTTGGTAGATTTTTAGAGTTTTTTTTGTTTGTTCAGTGTTCTGATTTGCTGATTTGATTCTTATTAATTTGATTTTTAATTCTTGAATAAATTGTGCAGGATACATGGTATAATCTGGCAGAAGCACTAGGAAACTATCTTTAATTCTTGAATAAATTGTGCAGGATACATGGTATAATCTGGCAGAAGCACTAGGAAACTATCTTTAATTCTTGAATAAATTGTGCAGGATACATGGTATAATCTGGCAGAAGCACTAGGAAACTATCTTTGGGGAGAAACTGTAAAGGTAAGAACTTATTTATTTAATAAATTAATCATAAGTGAAAAGTTTGATGCTTTGTGTGCAATCTGGGAATCCAGACATGAGAATTTAGGGTCTTATAAAATTTGTGTAAATATTTTTCAGGTTAAAAACCTATCTTGTCAATTGTACATGTTGTAAAAAAAAATGTCGTCTTCATCATCCAGAGGAAGGCTGAGCCCCCTCCCCCTCCCTGGAATTTCAAAAAATGATGAGTTCCCTTCTTCATGACGTCTTAATGACTAATGTTTATATTTTAAATCTGATATTTCTCGTTGAGTCACGTGATACATGATAATGATAATTTAACTACCCCGAGCCCGAAACTGAAACTTAAGACGGAGTAACGTGATGAAACCCAGTATCGGAGACCTGGCTTCATGAATGGGGTCAGGCAGTTTTAATGATGACAATGTTTTGTTTAGAAATATTATTTCATGTGGTTTCTTTTCATTCACTTTTTGTTTTCTTGTTTCTAAAAATAAAATTTACGAAAATGTTTAGATCCCAAAAAGGAAAACTCGGGAGTTTTGTACAACGATACTCTCATAAAATTTCGGCTCCATGGTACATAATAAACTGTACTGTAGGTCCCCCAGCCCCAGACCAGGAGAGCAGCTGATATAACAGAACAGTTTGAAGCTCTCTACAGTAGATCGAACCTAGAGGAGAAGGATGGGATAACTGCTATATCCGTCTATATTACTTCAACATCAAGATGCATGTAAGAATTTAACACGTCCCCCGGGCGGTGTGGTAACAGTTCGCCCAATCAAGTTTCATCCAATAACGTTTCACCCAAAACGTTTCACCCAAAAACTTTTAACACAATAAAACGTTTCACTCAATTCACGTTTCACCCAATACTATGTTTCATCCTAATTACATTTCACCCAACTCTCGTTTCGCCCAAACTACACTTACTTAAGAGTTGATGTAGTTGATACAGTTTATGATGCAGAGTAGATGCAGTTGATGTAATTGATTCAGTTGATGCAGTTTATGATTCAGCGTTGATGTTGTTGATCCAGTTTATGATGCAGAGTTGATGCAGTTTATGCAGTAGATGTATTTGATTCAGTTTATGCAGTTGAAGTATTCGATTCAGTTGATGCAGTTGATGCCGTTTATGATGCAGAGTTGATGTAGTTGATGCAGTTTATGATGCAGTTTATGCAGTTTACGATGCAGAGTTGATACAGTTTATGCAGGTTATGATGCAGTTTATGATGCAGAGTTTATGTATTTGATGCAGTTAATGATGCTGAGTTGATGCAGTTTATGATGCAGATTTGATGCAGCTGATGCAGTTGATGCATTTTAAGATGCAAAGTTTATGCTGTTTATGATGCACATTTTATAAAAACAATGAAAGGTACTGTCGACGTAATTTGAAGTGGGGCCTTTAATTTCTTAAATTCTTAATTTCTGAGTTATCGTTGTTTTTCTTTCTGAAAATTAATAATTTTAATTGCGGTTTCTCCATTAAACTAACAAAAACTTCCACTAGATTTTAAATGAGTTGATGCAGCTGATGCAGTTTATGATGCATAGTTGATGCATTTTATGATGCTGAGTTGAAGCAGTTGATGCAGTTTATGATGCATAGTTGTTAAAGTTGATTCAGTTGATGCAGTTAATGCAGTTGATGCAGTTGATGCAGTTAATGAGGCAGTTGATGTAGTTGATGCATTTGGTGCAGTTGATTCAGTTGATCGATGCAGTTTATGCAGCTGATGCAGCTAATGCAGTTGGATGTGTAATAAATCCCATAGTTATATACTTTGTACATTGTCTGTAAACCCTAATTTCGCTTATTAATAAATACGCAAAACTTGTATTGCAATAAACCTAACCCAGCTACGTCTCTAAATGACTATGTTAAACCTGTACTGTGATTGGCTTAACTACGTTGATATATATATGACACAGAACTTGTAATCAAGTCAATCAACTAAATCTGTAACATAGAAACACAGAACTTGTAATTAGGTCTATTAAATTAATCATTAAGGTAGAAAAATCTAAATGTCAGTTGTAATAATACTCCGCCTTGATTACGGTGTGAGAGTAATTGTTTCTCTGTTAGCGAATCCTGAATCGCTTTATTGAAAGATAGATATTGCTGGTATACTGTTGTAATAATACCACTCCGCTTGTTTTACAGTCAGAGAAAATATATCCTCATATAACAAAGGATATAGATAAAGTTGTGTCAGGATTGACCTTGATAGTAAAGTTGAACTGATAAGTTCTAATGCCTCATAGACCTAGGAAAGGGATTGAGTTGTACCTGTATTGATTCGAGCCTAATAGCGGTTCTAGGGGTAAGGCATTTACTACAGATGTAGTCGATGCTGTTGATGTAGTTGATGCAGTTGATGTAGTTGATGCAGTTGATGTAGTTGATGCAGTCAATGCAGTTTTTTCAGTTATTGCAATTGTTGCAGTTGATGCAGTTTATGCAGTTTATGCAGTTTATGCAGTTGATGTAGTTGATGTAGTTGATGCATTTGATGTAGTTGAAACATGAAGTTTTTTATCTGATATATTAACTGATTGAATATTTATAAACTTTATTAACTAGACAATGTGGCTGCGTCCTGTTTGATGAGGAGATAATGGCAGGTTGGACAGCTGAGGATTCTAATCTGAACACTGTCTGTTGTTGGTGTAAAAGTAGAACTGTACCCTCTCTCTCTATTCAGGTATTTAAACCCCTCTTCCCCATGCTATTGCCAAAGTCTTGCAAATAGATCAATATCAAAAAGCTAAGATGGGCGTAAAGTAACCTTAATTGTATATATTTCTATATTTTTTATTTATGCTTTTAATTGACTTTTCTGTATATTTGTTTTCTTTGCTTGTTTGCTTGTTGTATTATCATATATTGTTTGTATCCAACAAACGTCAAAACGACAGAACTAAGCGCCCTGTAAGCTTAGTAAGATATATAATTAATAACATAATTAACCAAATCAAGGTGCTGGATTACCGGGAGCATTTAAAGGATCCTCTAAATCAGGCTGAACCCAAGGTTAGTCTCCGCTTTCACTTTTTACCGTATATTTCAGATAAATTTCCCCTTCTGTATACTGTATATTTCAGTTAAATTGCCCAATCAGTTTACCTTATATCTTAGATAAATTTCCTCATCCGTATACAGTATATCACAAATCAATTTCCCCATATATATACTCATTGCTTAGGATCCGCAAGATTTTTGCTTCCTGGATCCGGACCAGCAGAAATATGCGGATGAACTGATCCGGATTTAAGAGGCAAAAAGTCCAGCAAAAACTGAAGAAAAAAATGGTTCTCTAAAAATCCAAACCTGAACAATTAAAAAAAGAGACTATAAAAATTTCTTGATTTTTTGAATGGTTCATCTAGTTTTAGCATAAAAATAAGCGAACAAAATAAGACAAAAAAATTGAAAATTCTGCTTTTTTAAGTACAGGGTGGCCAAAATGTACGGATTGTACGGATTGTTTTTTTTTAACCCAAAAATTGTACGGATTGTACGGATTTTTATCCTGGAAAATACACCGTTTTTTTAAATTTTCACTCATTTCAGCAAATTTTTCATGAAAATTTAAAAAAATTCTCGTCAAAATGAAGTTAGTTTAACTTATTTTCTGCATTTTAAATAATATTAGATTGATTAATGTTTCAATTGACAATCAAAATTCATTCATAATTTTCGAGATATGTCCAAGAAGTGTTTATTTGAGAATATGTTCCATAAGTACTTATTTGATTGCT